ACGACGGACGACGACGGACGAAAAGCGATTGGAATAGGTCACTTGAGCAAAGCTCAGGTGACCTAAAAATAGTAACGGTGACCTTGACCAAAAAAATCTGAAATTCAAACTTGTCTAAGATATTATGGTCTTTTGTAATTGTATGAAGTTTGATCCAAATACCTCAAGGAATGAAGCTGCAAGAGCACTGACAAGGATGTTCTAACAAGAGCCCCAGAGGCCCTGTATCGCTCACCTGTTTCTTTTGTTACATGAAACTGACATATAGGTAACTTCAGACCAAATTTGGTAACTAGAACACAAGAAATTTCAACATCTCTTAAACGCTTCTCAAGATATTGTTTGAAATTGTAATTTTAAAGCTTTTAACCCCTGTATACCGTTGACTCCGGCTAGCACTTGATGTTGACCTTTGACCTCGTTACTGTAATTAAGAAAAAGCTTTGCACGGCTGGTCTCCATAACATTCCCAAATGCTTCTTAGGATATCGTCGTTTGAATTTTTTACATTTTAGACTCATGTGACCTTGAAAGTAGGATAAGGTCATTTGGAAGAGGAAACTTTATAGCACTCTATCCCCGGTAGCTACTGGCCAAATATCATGACCTTGGGCCTTATGGAATTTGAGAAGATTGTTAAAGCTTTTAACCCATGTTGACATTTAACCCCTGACTAGCACTTAAAGTTGACCTTTGACCTCATTACTGTATTTAAGAAAAAAGATTCACAATGCTGGTCTTCATAACATATCCAAGTATCATGACTTTAGTCCAAATGGTTCTTATGATGTTGTTGTTTTAATTTTTGAACATATTTGACCCTGTGACCTTGAAAGTAGGTCAATGTTATTTTAATGAGGAAAATTTATAGCACTCCATCCCAGGTACCTACTGGCCAAATAGCATGGCCCTATGTCCTCCAGTTCTTCAGAAGAAGTTGTTTAAAAGAAAAAGTTGACGCACGGACAATGGACGTCGCAGTACGGCAAAAGCTCTGGGCCAGGTGAGCTAAAAATAGCAAAAGTGACCTTGACCTAACAACCCTGAAATTTGAACTTGTCCGAGATATTATGGTCCTTTGTATTTGTGTGAAGTTTGTATGTACGTACGTACACAGGCGGACGAAGAGGAAACCTTATCCCCCCAGTTTCACCGGTATTGGACTAATAAAACTTGACATGCAAGACTAAAATTGCAGAATATGCTTATCGCAAAAGACACATAACATATTAGATACATACCTTTAGATATAGTTAATGCAGGTGACCACTGCGACCTTAGGATATCCAAACAGATACTGCCATTGCTGTTTATATTAGGGTGGTATATTCTTGTTGTAAAGGCAACCTATAAACACAAAATTTCAGTGTCATGGAGCAGTTTTTAATAATGGCATAAAATCAGAGTATAGAATGTTGGTTAATTTTGATTGGAAACTTTTTTTAAAATGTTAACCCATATGCTAAAAACCACTGATTAGTAGAAAACGGTAGATCAATAATCCAATCTCTTACTTTGTGCAGTAGCTTAAATCTGGCTCTATGTCTGGAATGGATTGGTTCCTACAAACATTTTCTATCAGATATTTTGTTATATCTAAAATATTACTCATTATGCAAGAAAAGAAAACATCCCTTTTGAAGGAAGAATTTTCTTGTTAATGTCATCGTGCATCAGCGAGTAAATATCAAGACCTAGGCTCACTCTTAGTCTCCAATATATTAGCATCGTGAAACATATCAGATAATATTGTATCGCTTTTGTAATATATAGTGACGATCAATGATTATTTGTAAAATATTTACATGCTTAACATCAAAATATATGGGATTATTCTGTGATTTTGGTTGTTATTGTTTCTTTTCAAGTTGCTCACACTACACTATTTGTGAGCTCAAAGAGCATGCGATTGTCATGTGATCTTTATTGACATAATGTGGCAAAATGTTATTTCATTTTGTGAGCAAACAGGTGAGTAACACAACTTTTCATTGCAAAATTGGTAAATCATGATAAATCATATTATTTCTTTGGCACACTTCACATGATATGGTCCAGGGACCTAGTTATCAACTTATCATAGCCCCTAAACACAAGTATCAGTTATAAGGCAATGAGTGTCAGGTGTTAATAAGTCTACATTTTTGCTGGAAAATTAACCTGGTGGTATCTTACAACCAGCAGATTTCTTTTATAAACATAGAAAAAGACAGGTCGCCATGCATGCTTTCAAAATGAGGTCAGAGTTCACGTGGCACCCCTTGATACAGCGTTTACACTCATAAGTTTTATAACCACATTCACATACCTTATTTAATTGGTTTTTGAGCATTCACTTTTCAACTTACCTTTGGCGGTTTAAATGGATAATCTGTTGGAAAATGTATCGTGAGGAAAAATACACCACCCTGATATGGACTGTCTGGCTGCAATGAGAAGATTATTTCAAAGATTATTTCAAGAGTCATAATACATGAAATATGTGGTAATACAAGGATTCCAATGGTTGTGTTTACCCTTTTTTGACAATGAAACAATGGTGTCAAAATAAAAATAAAAATCTCAAGAGCTGTTAATATATATATATATACCCATCATGTACACAAGTCCCCATCTTCCGGAGAGGTTAGAGCAACCACAAGTACTGTATTGAGTGCCGGAGAGGTTAGAGCAACCACAAGTACTGTATTGAGTGCCGCAGAGGTTAGAGCAACCACAAGTACTGTATTGAGTGCCGCAGAGGTTAGAGCAACCACAAGTACTGTATTGAGTGCCGCAGAGGTTAGAGCAACCACAAGTACTGTATTGAGTGCCGCAGAGGTTAGAGCAACCACAAGTACTGTATTGAGTGCCGCAGAGGTTAGAGCAACCACAAGTACTGTATTGAGTGCCGCAGAGGTTAGAGCAACCACAAGTACTGTATTGAGTGCCGCAGAGGTTAGAGCAACCACAAGTACTGTATTGAGTGCCGCAGAGGTTAGAGCAACCACAAGTACTGTATTGAGTGCCGCAGAGGTTAGAGCAACCACAAGTACTGTATTGAGTGCCGCAGAGGTTAGAGCAACCACAAGTACTGTATTGAGTGCCGCAGAGGTTAGAGCAACCACAAGTACTGTATTGAGTGCCGCAGAGGTTAGAGCAACCACAAGTACTGTATTGAGTGCCGCAGAGGTTAGAGCAACCACAAGTACTGTATTGAGTGCCGCAGAGGTTAGAGCAACCACAAGTACTGTATTGAGTGCCGCAGAGGTTAGAGCAACCACAAGTACTGTATTGAGTGCCGCAGAGGTTAGAGCAACCACAAGTACTGTATTAAGTGCCGCAGAGGTTAGGGCAACCACAAGTACTGTATTCAGTGCCGGAGAGGTTAGAGCAACCACAAGTATTGTATTGAGTGCCGCAGAGGTTAGGGCAACCACAAGTACTGTATTGAGTGCCGCAGAGGTTAGGGCAACAACAAGTACTGTTTTGAGTGCCGGAGAGGTTAGAGCAACCACAAGTACTGTATTGAGTGCCGCAGAGGTTAGGGCAACCACAAGTACTGTATTGAGTGCCGGAGAGGTTAGAGCAACCACAAGTACTGTATTGAGTGCCGCAGAGGTTAGGGCAACCACAAGTACTGTATTGAGTGCCGCAGAGGTTAGGGCAACCACAAGTACTGTATTGAGTGCCGGAGAGGTTAGAGCAACCACAAATACTGTATCGAGTAATTTTTTTACACTTGCTTCAAAGTCAAACTTGAATGGGTACAAGATACTACCAGGCTATATAGCAAATTACTAAAAAACTAGAATTATGTCAGTATGACATTACAGCCGCTCACCACTTTAAATTTAATTGCTTCAGTAACACATTGGGCATCAATATCTACTATAATACCTCATATATGTGTTCTGTATTCTGCTAATTGAAAATCAGGTCATGTGATGATGTTGCCTTTGGAATTTTCAAAATCAATCGCCTCTTAAATGTTGCCTTAAAAACATTTCTCCCTCTCCTCTTTTTTCACCCTCTTTAAGTGTGATGCATTGTTGTAATTTTCATTAATTAGCATCCTCCAATGATGTGACATGAGCATTTATGTGCAGAATGGCAATCGGTGAATGGATAATAAAGAATAGGTGCATTTTGTGCTTGTGAAATGAAGAATAATTAAAAGTAGTGGGAAAACATGCATGGAGAAAAGAGACATTGTACTCCTTTTATTTTTATTTATTTTTTATTCATATTAATTATAAATATTGATATATGTAGCGACTATATTTACCGTCATTGAATATACAAAATCTTACAAATGTTCTTCAAATATATTTGAATTATATTTCTCAATGTATCTTTAACAACCTAAGAGTTATTTCCCTTCCACCGAATTGGATATTATTTTGACACGGCGCCAATTCTTGTCAAACAGCAGCGGCTGTCATGTTCTTAAATTGTTACACTGTCATAAATAAATATACCAGAAATAGCATGCTGTGTTACAGAAATGTTTGATAAGCATACACAGTTCACATATCGTCTCGTCTCCGAGCCATTACCGTTATCAACCTAAGCACGATATGTCATATTACATTCCCGTTTCAAATATCAAAATAGAGGGTATACTTCATCACTTATACGGTTATAAGTATATATAGTTACTTCTTCCTTCTACAGACAGCATCAATGCTTGACAGTCTTCACATGTGCTTTCTCGAATCATATGTGTTTCACACGCGTAACACTCCTCAGACCGCAAACCGAGTTGCTAAAACGCTCAAACTTAGTGCACGAATTTCACCACCATAACACTCGTAGAATGCACCGGAGATAAACTTTTCTTTCAGCAATTATTTAAAGTAAGGATTATTATTTGGAGAGGAGTATCAGAAGACTCTATGTAACCCACAGGTGAGTGTCAGAGATTCTACTTTCTATTTGCGATAACGAAACTATATAGCGGAAGCATGCAAGACTGAAGTATGCGCACGCACCCCGAACGGAAGTGGGTCCGTCATTTCGTTCTCTGGACAGAATAAATAAGCCGCTCGGCTCTCGCCAAGAGCGGCTTAAAAATGTTCATTGAAGTGCTATTGCACGGAAACCATTTGTGTAGATGTAACCAAGATGTCTTTGCCAGTCATATCCCTGTCAACTTTGTTTTGCAGAAAACACACAAAGATGGAACATCCTTGGAGTTACTGTTAACTCAACAGCAGTTTTTGGGATGCACAATTTTGCATCCTGGCATGTTGTGGTCCATTTTGGACACTGTCTTTCTCTATGTCATGTGTCCCCAGACCCATCCTGGCAATCAGCATAACTACTCAAGTCAAAGATCAATGGAAGTTGAGCACGACTTAATAAATACAGAGAACAGTATAAAGGTGATCTGAGGTCCACAGGAAAACTGATAGGCAAAAGTGAAGCAGTAGGCTATCAAGCTTTACAATTGGATTATAATCAACTGTCGCTAATTAAACATGTGACAACTAGAGGCACATGGCTGTCTTTTAGAGTGGTAGCTATTTTTATTTTTCATGTCAATCAAATATTTTGTTTAACCTATTGAGGTGCTTTTTGATTATGTTTATATTTCATGAAATATAGAAATTGTCATTATGTTGTGACATTTGGACTTCCTTTTAGATCGATCTACCAGACAATCACGTATCAAAGTCGATGCTGGTGTATTACTATTTGGGGAACATAAAAATCCATTCTTTTTACTATTCAACAGAAATATAAGAAACAGAGATTTGATAGGTTTCATTCGACAGATAGTAGAAGCTTCTTAGTCAAATTTGTATGATTATGCAAGAAGAAGAATTATGCAAACATTTTGTGTGGGTTTCAGTAATACTGTCTGCACTCACTCTTTTCAAAACCAGCGAGCTCGAGTCCAAAGTAACTTTTGAACAAGTTTTTTTTTTACCCTACCTCTTCAAAGTGGAGGGGTGAAAACTTAAATTTTGAACCATGAAGTGCTGTAAAAGCAACGTTACCATAAAATGATGAAAGAAGTTGAATAATTTGTATGTGTTATACTTATACGTACCGTTAAAATGACTCAAATTTGCCCATTTTAAATAGTGATTGTTGTTTTGAAAACCCCATGATTCAATCGTCTGAAATATTCTCGCTCATGTAAGCGTTTTTAACAGGAAGCATCGATTTGCGTACCATGCAAGCATCTCAGTGACTCGCTGTAAGCGTATTATAATCTGCCAAATTGGACCCGGAGACTGGCGCAATGTTCTTAATTTTGCTTGCGTGAATTAAGCAAGTTCATTTTTTCTTTTGCACAAGTTGTGAATTATAGTGTGAGAATACGCATTCATGCAAGCTGTACAAACATAACTGCTCTAGCTATAACCAATGAAATTATCAATGTTTATTTATGATAATTTCATTGGTTATAGCTAGAGCAGTTATGTTTCACACTGTGAAATTATCATAAATGAACATTGATAATTTCACAAGAGATCAAAGAGGGATGTTGGTGTCTACCGTCCGAGGTCAATGCAGAGGAATGGATTAAGTTTGTCCAAGAGTAAATACATCTTTAAGTACTTTTTGACTAAAATTTGTGTTTATCTATGTATTGTTCATACTAAACAAAACAATAAAATGTGTTTTTATATGCAAGAAATTGAAGAACACTTCGATTAAATACTTACTGGACCCATTATTGTTGCTTGCCAGTGAAATACTGAAAGAAAAAATTGTATAACACATGAATGGTGAGCAAATTGAGTTAAACAAATGAGTAGTATATATGTAAATACATTGTATTTTCTATTCTGAAAGAATTTACTATGTAAACAAACAGAATGCATAACTGTCACATTACTGTCTTCTCGGTCTTGTCTTAATATATCATCTTTTCATTAGACTGAACCAAATACTGCACTTGTGAACTTGGTAGATGTAAGCCAGATAAAACTAAAATTGTAAATCACAGGCATACTTATAAGTATAACCCCTGCTTTTAACTGTTATTGTGCAAGCCAATCAAAGACCATGTAAAGAAAAATATCTATGTATCACTCCAAAAAAGTTTAATTGTAAATGGTCACATAGCTTAAGGAAAATTTGCCTGGACAAGGGGGGGGGGGGGGGGGGNACTATGAAGTATCCTGCAGTTTCAAAACTTTTAATTTCGTGGACATTCTTGTAACCAGGAGGTGGCAGTAATATTGTAATCAACAATATATTACCGTGTCTGATTATCAATAAAGATTTGCCCCTCTGAATCTTTCATATGCAACAAATAATTCTCTAAATAAATTTCAGTCAATAGATTAAGTGAAATAGTTTTCTTTCAATATAGTACTAGTGGAACCCTCTTATTATGATATTTTATTTGCCAGAGAAAAATATCATAATAACCGATATCCTAATAAGTGGGTTCCACTGTATATACATTATAAAATGTACTTTTTACATATGCAACTCACAATCATCTCCAACTGGACCAGCTGAACATTGTGCAGGTGGATCTCTGCCTAGATCTTGTAGTTCCTTCAAGCAAAGAACACATTCTTAAAACATCAATATTACAATAAATAGGAACGACTCCTGTACGTAATTTGTTTTGCATGGACATGATTATATCATTAGAATTAAGGAACATTATCCAGGCTTCAATATTATCTGAGGGTTTATAATTAGGTTGCCCAATTCTTAGAATGTTCTCTTATATCAAAATGCCTGCATATTTATAAGGGTAAAAGTCATGTAATGACCCAGCTCCACTCTTAAATTTAGTGGGGGGTTTTAAGTTTTAAAGAATTAAAAAGGTATGCTTTTCTTTTTGGTTATTGGTGATAACTTCCAAACAAACTAAATGAATGAAAGATGGTTAACAAATATACCCCCATACATGCACGCACTGAACGAAAAGAAAATCCACCCACATGCTTCACCCATTTCTTTAAAATGACGATGTTTTAGATGGTCAGATCTACACTAGAATACAAAGACTTGCAGCACGTTTAATAAAAAAGGACTATAGAAGCCAAACAGAAGGCAGGGGTCGACACTTACACTAGTCAGCTAGTTCTGGACTACAGGGGTCGACACTAACATTAGTCAGCTAGTCCTGGACTACAAGGGGTCGACACTAACACTAGTCAGCTAGTTCTGGACTACAGGGGTCGACACTAACACTAGTCAGCTAGTTCTGGACTACAGGGGTCGACACTAACACAAGTCAGCTAGTCCTGGACTACAGGGGTCGACACTAACACTAGTCAGCTAGTCCTGGATTACAGGGGTAGACACTAACACTAGTCAGCTAGTCCTGGACTACAGGGGTAGACACTAACACTAGTCAGCTAGTCCTGGACTACTGGGGTCGACACTAACACTAGTTAGCTAGTCCTGGACTACAAGGGTCGACACTAACACTAGTCATCTAGACCTGGACTACAAGGGTCGACACTAACACTAGTCAGCTAGTCCTGGTCTACAAGGGTCGACACTAACACTAGGCAGCTAGTCCTGGACTACAAGGGTCGACACTAACGCTAGTCAGCTAGTCCTGGACTACAAGGGTCGACACTAACCCTAGTCAGCTAGTCCTGGACTACAGGGGTCGACACTAACACTAGTTAGCTAGTCCTAGACTACAAGGGGCGACACTAACACTAGGCAGCTATTCCTGGACTACAAGGGTCGACACTAACACTAGTCAGCTAGTCCTGAACTACAGGGGTCGACACTAACACTAGTCCGCTAGTCCTGGACTACAAGGGTCGACACTAACCCTAGTCAGCTAGTCCTGGACTACAGGGGTAGACACTAACAATAGTCAGCTAGTCCTGGACTACAGGGGGCGACACTAACACTAGTCAGCTAGTCCTGGACTACAGGGGTCGACACTAACACTAGGCAGCTATTCCTGGACTACAGGGGTCTACAATAACACTACTCAGCTAGTCCTGGACTACAAGGGTCGACACTAACACTAGTCAGCTAGTCCTAGACTTCAGGGGTAGACACTAACACTAGTCAGCTAGTCCTGGACTACAAGGGTCGACACTAACACTAGTCGGCTAGTCCTGAACTACAGGGGTCGACACTAACACTAGACAGCTAGTCCTGAACTGCAGGGGTCGACACTAACACTAGTCAGCTAGTCCTGGACTACAGGGGTCGACACTAACACTAGTCAGCTAGTCCTGAACTGCAGGGGTCGACACTAACACTAGTCAGCTATTTCTGGACTACAAGCGTCGACAATAACTAGTCAGCTAGTCCTGGACTACAGGGGTAGACACTAACACTAGTCAGCTAGTCCTGGACTACAGGGGTCGACACTAACACTAGTCAGCTAGTCCTGGACTACAGGGGTCGACACTAACACTAGTCAGCTAGTTCTGGACTACAGGGGTCGACACTTACACTAGTCAGCTAGTCCTGGACTAGCAGATTTCAGCAAGGTTGAGTGAATCACCTTACCTAACTGGTCCTTTGGACTTGTGAAAAATATGATTATAAAATAAGAATTTTTTTTTTTTTTTTTTAGAAAACTGCTTCAACTAAGATATACTGCATGATAATTGTCAAAATTTTCCTAAACCTTCACCACTATTTTAACCCTTTCAACACTGTAGACCATAATGGACTCATCCATATCAATACATTGTAGAGTCTATTAAGTTAGATGGGGGTGAAAGGGTTAAGCTAAAACTTCACTATTAATTTAAGTCCCTGTCCGCTACTTTCAATGTTTCGTGCTGTAGATTGAATGTTTCCTTATCAGGAAATCTGGGACTAGTTACATTGAAGAAGGACTAGTACAATCCATTCAACTAGTGTTCTCCCCAAAAATATTTTGATGCGCTATGGCATCTTTTTTTAACCTCTCCAACACAGCGTGGCGCTGCGATCCATTTCCGTGTCCCAACCCATCAATCGTGAACGAAGCCACTGTTTTTACGCTTAAGCAGCCTGTGGAGAACATTGACCTAGTCCTGTGGACTGCCAAGCAAAACAAGTTAGTGTCCAACCCTGAGAAGGGTGTGTCACCACCATGCTCCAAGAGTTGGGTCTACCAACCTTACAGCACAGATGCAAGTTTAACCGTCTAGTGATGCTATTCGAAATTCCAGCTAATCCAGGGGGTATGGTACTGGCAATCACCTTGATTTCTTAATCCCACTAAAGCTAAATGCCAAATTCAAGCCATTAAATATTCAGACTTTCAGTATACAAACATTGTCGAAAAAGTGTGACAAATAACTCTCAGTGCTTCATTAGTAAAAGTAGTGCCGAGTTGAATCAATTCAAACATTCATTCGATCTACGAAATGTTCTTGATTGGAACTAGCTTGATGAGAATGTGATATGCGCAGTTTTCAGAGAAGCTCTAGATCTCATGCATTACTACTCGAGTAACCAGCCTCTCTCCCAAAGAATTATAAACCAAAATTGGTCCTTTCTTCGTAACCCTAGATACAGATAACTGCTGTTGCAAGGTATGTTTAGATGTTGGCAGTTAATTATGTTTTGTACTTGATCCATTAATTACTTTTAGGCAATTAATTGTTTCCAGAAAACCAACTTTTCAGACACTATTTACACCTACTGTAGCATTTCACAGGTTTTAATTCTCAGTCTGTAAATCATGACAAATCGCAGTCACTCTTCTGCTTCAATGCTTTATGCTTATATGTATTTCATGGTAAAATGACTGTCATGCTATATGTATGCATGTATATATATTAGAACACTTCCTCTGTTTCATAATGTTTCATATATGCAATTGTTTTATTTGACACGTTTTACTGATGTTTGTCGGAATAATATCTTTTAATAGCTAATGTTAAATGTTTTTAAATATCTGACGTTAATTTTTGTTATTGTATTGTATTCTGAGGGATGATCACTGACGTGTCCAACTCCAGATTACATCAATAGTTAAATACATTCAGTACTAGCACAGTGCCTGAAATGGCTGGTCGCCCACTCGCCTGAGGCGACCACTTTCGTGTCAGGGCGACCAAAGTTGTCTTAAGACAAGTAATTACTGGCCCAAAATATAATGTCTGGTCGACTGCCCTACACTCCTTCTAAAATTCATATTATCGTAATTTTAAAAGTGAAGCAGACAACATTTGGCATGATTTTCCAGTTAATACAAAAATGGAATACATGTGATGTTTAACAAGCGGAATACAAAGAAACCCCATATAGTTGTGTTCCGTTTGAAATTCCCCCTGCTATTTTGTACTAACCTAGGAGCCATCTATGGCATACATATGGGATCTATATTACATGAACCGTGAGTAGACATCGTTGTCATGAACTGTAAACCACTTAATTGAGTTTTTCAAGCGGATTTAGTTCCGCCCGGATTTCGGGCGGAAACTGCATCAAAGAATTAGTTCTCCGGAAATGAGAGGTCGCAGTCGGCAAAATCATATCCGTTAGAAAAAAAAGGCCGACCAGCGGCCTCTCATGTTATAGGAGTTGTGTCAAAGTTAGACCGAATATTCATACCCTGCCTACGCTCCGCTCCAGCAGGAGCTCTGACCACGCAATATATAAAGAACATTTCTTCTTCTTTAGTATACCCACTCAAACTATTATTTAATAGAACTTTATCTATTGGAGTAATACCTGATGTACTAAAAACGGCTAATGTTACTGCTCTCTATAAAGGTAAAGGATATATCAGTGATCTCAATAATTATAGACCTAATGCTATTTAGTCTATTTTTATCAAATGTTAGAAAAAAATATTTTTAAACATACGTTTAATTATATTTCAAGTCACAATATGTTAAGTGTACATCAGTCAGGATTTCAACTCAAAGACTCCACTACTAATCAACTAGCTGATATCTATAATACTATAAGTAGTAATTTAGACCAAGGTAAAGATTTGCGTTTTGTTTTCTGTGACATAATTGTAAAGCATTTGATCGAGTATGGCATTTGGGCCTATTATATAAACTAAAAACATATTGTATTAAAGGTAAATTATACAATTCGTTTAAAGCTTACTTATCTGACAGAAAACAAAGGGTTATCTTTGAATGTTATAAATCTAGTACCAAATCTATTTCTTCAGGGGTTCCTCAAGGATCTGTCCTTGGTCCCTTCCTTTTTCTTCTTTTTATTAATGATATTACTAACAATGTAACTTCTCATATAAAACTATTTGCAGATGATACCTCTCTCTATGTAATAGTAAATAATAACAATGACCTTACAACACCTACTAACATGCTTAATGATGATCTTGACTCAATCTCTGAATGGTCAAAGCAATGGCAGATCCTATTCAATCCGATCAAGATAGTAGCTACAATCATCCTCAACTGCTATTTACCAATACTCTGATTGCACAACATGAGCACCATACTCACATAGGACTAACATTTAACAGTAAAGGGACATGGTCAGATCACATTTCAAATATTTATAAAAAAGCGAACTCTAGACTAAGTATTCTTAGAATTTTAAAAACTACAGTTGATAGGAATACATTAA